TAGGATTCAATTATTATTTATTTAATATATTATTATTTTAAAGATTATTACATGTTTTCAAAAATTAAACCACCAAACGCAATTTCAGTTTTTTTTTTTAAACTGAAATCAATCTCTAAATAAAACTACCAAACGCATTTCAGAAATAATTCCAAAATGAAAATGAAAACGTTTTTATTTCTATTTTCATATAGAAAGTAAAATCATTTTAAAACTAATTCTAAACGCACCCATAATTTTCCTCTTAGTATTTGAGCTAAAAATGAAAACATCAATAATTGGCTAGTGAGTCACAGACATGTGACTGTAAATAACTGTTCCCCTTTATTGTTTTCTCTTCTTTTGAGTAATATCTTAAAAAACGTTTGATTTATAAATTTAAAATTATGATTTATAATTTAAAATTTTGATAAGAAAAAAAATATTATAAAAAATTAAAAATTATGATTCAGAATTAAAGACGATCTCGAAACAAACGTCTCATTATTTCGCTGACAACTCATCACTGCTGGAAAGGTTCTTCAGTGGCAATGCAACAGTGACAGTGATAAACAGCTTCACCATTTCCTCCTTTCTTCATATCAAAACGAAAACAGAATATCAAATAAGTTCCTCACCTGCTCTTTCTTCCTGTATATAATATAATTAGGGGATTTTCAAGTAGGTATGTGAATTTTTTTTAATTATTAGATCTACGTTTTTTTTTTTTTGGTAATTTTATATAAATTTAATTAAAAAAAAAAAACTTAACCGATGAATATATTAACTGACAAGTTCCTAATTAAATATATAAATATATATAAGATTCATTTCTCTCATTTCTCTGGTTTCTATTTCTTTTCTTGAGCCCATGTTCGAGAGAGAGCGAAAGAGAAAGGAAGGGAGAATTCCTAAAACTCTCTCTCTTTCTCTCTCTCCTTTGTCTTTTGATCTTAACGTTATCCAGATTCGCCTCAGCAATGGCGGATGACGAGCCTTCCCTCACTCGCTGGTCCTTCATGGTAAGTAACTCTCTCTTCTTCTCTTTGTGTTTGGTTTCCAAGAAAAGAAAACGTGGATTGAATCTCGGATTTTCCGTCAAAATGTAGTTCAACAAATCTAGGAGCTCCTCTTTTTCGTACTGGTTAAATTTCTGGCTGAGAGTTTTGGATCATATCATTTTTTGTTCTCTTAGCTAACGACATACAAAGATCAACAATCAATTTTTTTTTTTTTATGTAGCGGATTAGATTAGATTGGATTAATAATTGTGGATTTATTTCAGCTATTATGTGTATTTCTAGGATTTTAAAATATTTTATGATGCCAAGTTTGGTAGAAAGAGGTTGCCGGAACCACGAAACGGCTCTTCCACTGATCCATCGGTCGCTAGCAATGGGAGTTCTCCGGCCGTATTGGCGAATGGAAGCGCACATGTAAATGCATCCGATTTGTCTATCTACGAGCAGTTTAACCAGGTAATGTATGTGTGTCGTGATGTGGTCAATTGGTATTGCTATAGATTTCATAATGTTTGACTTAATTTATGCTGTTTGCTTCCAGGGAAGGAGCTCGGCTCAGTCTATTGGTGTTTTACCGAATCGAAATGGAGAAAAGCCGTGTGTTTTCCTTGACTCTTCAGATGTCTACCCTTTACATTTTGCTACAAACTTGGAAAAACATGTTGTGAATGCTTGGCATTTTTTTATTTTTATCTTGGCATCATATATTAACTTAAATTTTAGGAAAGTCGCTCTTTTTCCATTTGTTGTGATATGATGAAAATGTCTAATGTTTCTTTTTGTTGAAACTGCAAATTAACTATCGTGGCATGTCCAACTTGGGATAAAGTCTATCTGAGTTTGAAATTTGCTGCGCAAATGGTTCCTAGTATCATTCATGACTCTGATCATATGGTCAACTGTAGTGTTATCAGCTGAATTATAATTTATATTTATCATGACTATGATATGATAGAGCGAGAATATTGGTGCATAATTTGTGCTGAGGGGTTGTCCTTTACTCCGATGACTAGAGTGTCAAATGCTTCTTACATGCTTTATCGTCTGATAAGTATCAAAAAGCCTAAATTTTTAGTGTTTTTAATAAGGTGATTGGCAGGGAATACCTATCGAAAGCAGACTTTGTATAGGACTTCTTGCCCTGGAACCAAGATATATGAAGCTATAACATGATGCGAGCTTATTTGCAAAATTATTTGAATGAATAAGTCAAATGTACGAAGTAGTTGCTTTTTTTTTTTTTGTTATTGAAAAAGAAAAACCTTTAGAAAGAGGGATTTATGCAGAATTTCTCACGTCTTGTCAACCTAGTTTGGGGGGGTTTAGGAACACATTTTAGCGTGAAATTAGTAGAATCAGCTGTACCCTTAGTGAGTCTCAAGTAATTTTGCATTCATGAGTGTTCCATTCTTTTCGTTTTATATATTTTAGCCTGGTTTCCTAAGGTAGATTTGAGTGTTTTAAGATGCCAACAAAGGCATTAATTAGAATCCACGTACAAACTTTACTGATTCTTAGATATTTATGTTGTTTCCCAGTTTATACTGAATCTCGTCTTTCCTAAAACAGTTGGTCTTTTTATGCTCATCTTTGCAGGCAAAAATCTCTCCTTCCAGCTTTTGATTCTGCAGAAACACGTTCTTTAGCTGAGAGTTTATGTAGGTAATTTGTACGACAAGAGTTTCACAAGGGAAACTGCTATAGTAATTGAATTGCCGTTCTTTGATTTGTCAAGGATATGATTATTTAATCATTTCACTTCTGCAGAAACACGTTCTTTAGCTGAGAGTTTATGTAGGTAATTTGTACAACAAGAGTTTCACAAGGGAAACTGCTATAGTAATTGAATTGCCGTTCTTTGATTTGTCAAGGATATGATTATTAATCATTTCAGAATGGTTTTGATGTTTCTCTTAAGGTTTTAATCCAATTGTGCAGGGACATAGTAAGGGACAGTCAAGATGTTATGTGGGAGAGCATCAAAGGTCTGGAGAATGCCAAACACTTACTTAAAGAAGCAGTTGTCATGCCAATTAAATATCCCAAGTAGGTCTTCTTATTGAGCATCCACCGCTTTGTAAACTAGGATTATCCTAATATTGAAACTTACTTGATACTCATGTTATGCTTGTGAGTTGTAACCACAAAGAATGATGGGTATAGCTTCGTATTGATTTTCACGTTTATTCCGTGATTGAAATTTGTCTCCATTCTTTTCTTTTGAATTCATAATCACTTACGAATCATGATTTGAAAGTATCTGTTTATGATGTCACTTGAACTTGAAACCAGTTGGTAAAATGGATTAGCAAAACCTTGCTGATTTTATTTTTACTGGTAAGGGTTGATTTAATTTCTGTACATGGTTGAGAGATCTGTCAGAATAACTCTGGACAACCAAACAGTAATCTTGACCATGAAAATGTAATATGCGTATTACTTATTTGTTTAAGGGAAATTATTAGCTTCCAATTTGTTAACTAAAGTTTGTAGCATGTCAAGAAATTGTTGTGCGGTGAATTCTAAGTCTAAATCAATATCATTCTGCAAGTGTGCCTGATTTTTCCTTTTTCCGCAGGTACTTTACTGGTCTTTTGTCACCATGGAAAGGTATTCTGCTTTTTGGTCCTCCAGGAACTGGAAAGGTTTGTGAGTTCACTAAGAGTTATCCTTTCTTTTTTAAAATTTCTGTGCTTTAGCAATATACACTGTTGGAAAGCTATTATTCATCTTGCTTTCTGTCCGTAGATTTGATGACCTTTTCTCCAAAATTTAACATCTGGTGTGGCATTGTGATGCTCCATGATAAAGTGCCAGCTACATTGTAAATTCCTAATTACATTATCTATCTCTTTCGACTATAGATGTAAGGATGTTTCTGTGTGTTAGCCTTGCCAAAATCAACTTCTGTGAATCTGTGTAATATGGAATTATTAGCTTATCCATGCACGTGGGTCTTTTTCACTGTATGTCGTGAGGAAAGAACTTGTTCAGGAAGGGGAAGTTATTGGTTATGATTTAAGAAATCTTATATTTTTCATTGGAACTAGACAACACACAACAAATTAATTGAATTTTGATATTGCAGACAATGCTCGCAAAGGCTGTTGCAACAGAGTGCAAGACCACTTTTTTTAATATTTCAGCATCATCTGTTGTCAGTAAATGGCGAGGTATGTCACAGCAAGAGCAAATTAATTCTTTCTTTTTCTTCTTCCCTGAATCTTGGAAAAGATCATAGAAGTTTCTTGGTTGATGTGAACTATTCTATTTTGAAACTTTTAATTCGCATTGGAGTTCTGTGTTTGGATTCAAAAAGAAATTGACTGATGAGCTGGTAATCCACAACCTATTTTCTCACTTTTCCAATTTAGTATGGGTAAAGAAACAAAGAAAAACCCACCAACTCATATGCTCGAATTCTTTGCCACAGCATCGTGTGTGTTATCTTGAAACACTCATATGGTCACGATTTGGAGTATGAATTACATTGCAGGTGATTCAGAGAAGTTAGTGAAGGTGTTATTCGAGTTGGCGAGGCATCATGCACCATCAACTATATTTATTGATGAAATTGATGCAATTATTAGTCAACGTGGTGAAGCACGTAGTGAACATGAAGCAAGTAGGCGTTTGAAAACTGAGCTTCTCATACAGGTGATACTTGTTTTTTACTCGACGTTGCTCTACTAGCCCAGTCGCTTTTTAATACAAACACAGTATCTATCTTATTTTATCCACAGTAAATGCATAATGCAATTGTCATCGATCATAAGTAACGTCAGTCATAAAATTATGCTTTGTTCTCTATTTTGTCAGATACTAGAAATGTTGTGAAAAGTTGTCAGGCATTTAAGTTCCAGGAATCTAAAGTCCTGCAATTTATTTTCTTTCCAGTTTTGCAGTATCCCTATTCTATTTTTTTGTCTCCAAGCGATGCATTGATATTGTACAAGGCTTTCATTAATTATATTAATAACATTTTAATGATGTCGTGTTTGGTATAATATTGTAATTCTATATAATATTAATCTGTGCTTCCACAATAACTTGGATTAAATTACAGATGGATGGTTTAACACGGACAGATGAACTTGTTTTTGTGTTGGCGGCAACAAATCTTCCCTGGGAACTGGATGCAGCCATGCTCCGTCGCCTTGAAAAGCGGGTATCCTTTCAATTTTTGTTATATGTACCTTACTAATGCAATCTATTGGGAGAATAGGCTATGAAACTGGTTGATGCTATTATTTGATAAATGACATTTCATTGAGGTAACTTAAACTATATGGACTTGGTTATCCCTTTTTTTTTCTTTTTTTTAAACCACCACCGTGGTGTCCAAGAATTTGCCCCAACTAATCCACCAGATCCATGCAAAGTACACCCCTCCACATTGATCAGGTAAATCTCGGGCCTTTGGTCCACGGGCGTGGCCACCTTAGCCCTAATGCTTCCTGAGGCTTAGGTCCAAGTGATTCACCACTTTAAGCAAACCCCTTGGGGTGTAGTTATGCCGCTATTGTAGTGGTTTTTGTGGCCATTTTATGATGGTTTATCTATGCTTGCTTGCATACTACGCAGCACCTGTACTGCTGCTTGAATGACAAGCACAGATTTTCCATCAAGAATGATGCTTAATTCACTGTTCTTATTTTTCAGAATTTATTTGGGTCCTCAAGGGGTTTTACATTGCGAAATACATAATGTTAGATTTTGGAAAAATATTTACAGCTCGTTCTGTGGTTAGGCATAGGGAACCTACTTGTACTAAGTTATCATTTATCTTTGAACTCTTGGCTGTAAGTTTTCAAGCCACTGATTACTAGGGCCTCGTTCGTTTCACCAATTCGAGTTTTTAGTTCTAAGTTTCTACAGTTAAAAGCTTTAAGAAAATATCACATCTAACATTTTCTGTTACAATAAAAAGTTTTCAGAAAATGTCACATCTCAGCTCGAATTGAAAACTCGAACCCGCAAAGCGAACGAGGCCTAAGTGTCTTAGCTCCTACTCTAATGACAAGTTTCTTTGTAAAAGCAACGACTACGTCTTACTTCCAGTTATTTTTCAACTAATTTGTTCTCAATAACCACTATAAATAGATCCTAGTGCCTCTGCCGGAACCAGTAGCGAGAAGAGCCATGGTGGAGGAACTCCTCCCATCACAGCCCAGCGAAGATTCTCTTCCTTATGATTTGTTGGTAGAAAGAACCGAAGGTTTCTCAGGTTCAGATATCCGGTTATTGTGCAAAGAGGCTGCCATGCAGCCATTGAGACGCTTGATGTCAATCCTTGAACAGAAGCATGAAATTGTGCCTGAGGATGGTATGTGACTCCTAATTTGAAAACCTCTTATCGAAATAAAGAACGAGTTTTATCAATGTCTTTAGTCTTATACCACTCTTTCATTCTCTAGAAAGGGGAAAGTATATAAAGAATAAATGTGGATTCAATTTGAATTTTCCTTCGTTCCCAATGCAAATAGAGAGGTTTGCTGTACATATATAGCCATATGATTAAGAACGCGTCTTTATCGATGTTTAAAATATTGTACTCTCCATTTTCATAAGAGAAACAACATAATACTTTTGGGCATTTTAAAGCAATGTAGTCGGTGTTTAAACTTTGCTTTTAGTGCTTAGTGGAGGTGTTTATCAAGAGTTCCTACAAAGGAATAAGAGATTTTTAGGCAATATGCCATGATTTTTAAGATTGGATTGACTTTTACCATGGGTACTAAAACTATTATAAAATATACATCATTTAAGTTGTATTGAGCAAAATTATACTTGTACTTTTGTGTATTTCATTCAGTATCATTGGATTTTGTGAAAATTTTATGGTTTTTCATTTATATATTTGTGACTTTTATAGATTTCACAATTTTTAAGTATCTTTAAGTGTAGCATTCTCTGTAATAGTTTATGTCTCCTAGCATGTCAATCCAAACCTAAAACTTGTGTTCTTGTAAAGTGCCCAAGGAATAAATCTCATATCCCATTCTGAAATTTGTGCTTTAAATCCATTATAGCTGTCATCTAGATGCCAAAATTGTTGAACTATCAATTGTATTCTCAAAATAATGGAGTCTTCAATGATACAAACTATCCCGTAGATTTAATCCTCTTTTACAACTAATCTTTGATGATTGACACTAATTTTTGGCTTGCAGAACTGCCTAAGGTCGGACCAATCACTCATGAAGATATAGAGGCGGCACTTAAGAACACGAGGCCATCTGCTCATCTCCATGCTCACCGCTATGAAAAGTTCAATGCTGACTATGGCAGTCAAATACTCCAATGAAGACACATGCCACATTTCCACATTTCTTTGTAGTATTCATCATGAGACAGTCTGTAATGTTCATTTTACGCCCCGTTTGTTGCCGATTTATTTACCAATTATCATCCTTTAGTCGAGGGTTTTTGGGTATTCAAACGAGAACTAGTTGATTCTTTTTTCGTCTTTGCAAGGCAATCGCTTCAATTAAAACTAGGATGGGATTTTCCTCATCATTCATTTAATGGGTTGTGGTCGCAAGTTATGCCAAAATGTCAAACGTCGGCATGAAAGTTTCGTGAAAGTTGAAACACTCGAAATTTGGCTTTCATAGTAATTAGTAAGAAGTAAACCAAATTATGTGCTTGCAGATATACATACCAAAGACTTGTGAGCAAATTTATTTAAACATTTATAACGGCTACAATCGACAATCTAGAGAAAACCAACACAATTTGAAACAATCTTCAAAAGATTTCATGAAATTCTATCAGAAATACGAAAGTACAAGCTAGCAACAAACTTTAAAAAACTTGTTGCAATACATAACGGCGATCAGGAGTACAGTAACATAACGCCATTAAGACAATAAATATATTAATGAAATCCCTATTTGAGTTCAAAAGTTCAGGTTTTCCCTCTCTAGTTCAAACCCTTAAGCGGGTCGGCCGTCTTTCCGGATCTTGCATCAGTCCACGCTTTTGCAATTGTTCGCTTCGTTTCGGCATCACCTTCCTCGTACATATTCTGCACATTGAAAAATACATCACACACATGAGTTTCCTATGTAGCAATGTGAAATCGCATTTATTGAGCACAAAATCAACATAATTATAGGGGGAAAAAAGCTTTATAATTCATATGCTCTATCCTTATATGTGCTTGGGTGAGAAACACACCTTCATCAAGTCCATGATTCCTGCCATGGGGTCTCGCTCCTTTTCCAGGTTTGGCTTCAGCTGTAAGACCAAAATGATCATATAATTAGTTGATCGCAAAATCTCTCTGAACTAAAGATTCACATTTTCCCCTTACGAGGATCAGAATGATCGTATAATAGGAGGGAAATTTTTATGAATATTTGGTCTGGAGTTCAGATACCTTAAAAAAAAAAAAAAAAACGTTAGCATTTTTCCCTTTAGTCTTGTATCCATTATTCTATAAGGTAAATCAACCGTTTGCTCTCTAATCCTTTATATAAAGAGTATAAGTGATTACCAAAATAAGTTAATGGTTTACTGAAAAACGTAAATTATCAAAAGAAAGAAATTTGCGGATTTTATTATTATTATTATTATTTTTGTTTTTTAAAAAGGGATCCAACATTTTGACCATTTATGTATATACCCGTAAAATAAGTTGTCAACAATAAATTCACAATGCCCCCACAGTAAGCCTTGAACATATTACCTTATCTTCTTTATAGTGCAAGTCTAACCAGCTCCCCTTTGAAGCTTTAATGAGCGTGACCACAACCCTTGTAGGCTTAACTAGCATCTTACACTTCTCTGGCACAATCTCCTTGTTCAATTTTGGAATTGCGCATCGGTAATTCTTTCCTTGGACATCATGTAGTTTGATGTCGAAAGACATCGGTTTAAACTCAACTTCCATTTTCTCCTGGTCAACTCCTTCCAGAGAGATATATAACTGCGAATGAAAACGCTTGGATCAGATAAACACAGTCCATATCATGTTGATATCAAAATACAAGCGCAACATTCAGACCCGATGTTAAATCTCATTTTTCTCTAATGCTTCCATAACAATAAACATTCACTGCCGAAAGTAGTTCCTCAAAGGTTTAAAACAAATTCTCACCTTGACTTTATCATTATCTTGCTCCCAACTGAACGACGAAAGCGTAGTGTAGTTTACAGCAGGAGGGGAGGGCACCTTCACCGCAGCCGCAACCTGGGTCGGAGCTTGCGTTGCAGGTGCAGTAACGTCTTTTGACAACTGTTTTCACCAGACTAATCATAACATTTTAGTCTATTTTACATAGACGAGCCATTCCTACTTTCTAGCTTGCATCAAGAGACAAATCCTCAAATCCATTCATTGCTAATTTCAGTTCTTTTTATAAAAATAAAAATAAAAAATTGAATAGCTACTTCAAAATTATCTCTTTCATCGGGATTTCCTTTTAAGAGTAAGTTCCCACTTTATCTTCATTGTTTTTTTTTTTTTAATTTTAATTTTGCATTGATTCCTTTTCCCTCTTCCATTTCTTAGAATGCATCCATTATCACACAAATAAAAAAAAAAGTGACAATTACCCCATAAAAGCCATAAATATTAAGACATTTACAAGGCAAATCAAGATTATAAGTCTAAAACAAAACAAAAACCATAAATTTAAAACGCCATTTTAGGAGGAAAAAGAAAACTAGTTTCGACCTTTTCCATGTCTCGAATCTGGGAGGAGATGAGATTGAGGACGCGAGGCCTCTTGGCGATGCTCTGCAAGTGACGGAGCTCCTCCAAATCAAGCAATAACTCCTCTGCCATTTTTCTTCAGCAAATGATAACTAATATAATAATCGTTGTTTTGCTAAATATGGTGATTCAATTTGTCCAATATGGTATGTAAGATTGTGGATTCAGATTTGTTTATGAATATAATGATATGAATTGATGATAATTGCTGGGGAGGAGAGAGTAGAAAATCCTAGAACGCTCTAACCCTTTTGAGCAGACACAGAATGTTCTAGAGCCTACCACTGTTCTTGTACCAGACTAGACTAGAAAATAGTGGAATTAAGGATTTTGCGAGAATGAGACACGTGCAGCTTTTAAATGGGCTTGGCCCATTTGTATGTGGGCCGTAAAAGGCCCTTTTTCTGAAAAAGAAATCACGGGCGCTCATTGGTTTGGGCGGTTTTTTTTTTTTTAACTAAAACAAAAATACTTTTTTCAACGGTTTGATATTTTTGTTAAAAATCAAATAAAAACCACTCATAAATAGTGTGGACAGTGTGATTTAGATGGTTTAAACTTAAAAGAGAAAAAAAATTTTGAGTAATTTGCACAAATGGCTGCTAAACTTTTTAAGAACTCACAGTTTGGTCATCAATTTTTTTTTTTACAAAACGACCCCAATCTCTTTAAAATGTGATTGTTTGGTCATTTCCATCAAATTTCGTTAGATTTTTAACAGAACATGTCACGTGACTGCCTTTTTTAGTAAAATGATTTGTATGCCCCCATAACAAAAAAAAAAAAAAAAAAACCTCTCACTTCTCTCTCTCTCTCTCTCTCGTTATCTCTTCATCTCCCTCAACCTCTCTCTCACCTCTCACCTTCTCTATCTCTCTCTGTTTTGAAACCCTCAACATCATTATTAGTTCTTTCTCAGAAGTCGAGGTCGGAGTTCTCTCTTCATCAGATCTCTAAACATCGGGAGGTTGGAGTCTCTTTTCACCAGATCTGACCATTGCGAGCAGTTTGTGACGGATTTATCATTTTCGACGGTAGACTCCTCCTATCCGATTGTTCTCGCGAGCGCCACCGTGGAAGAGAGGACGGTGACGAGCAAGTGTTCGTCGCGATGGCAGACTTATCTTTTCTGGATCTGTGACCCGAGATCAGGTTAGAAACGGAATCACGCTTTATGCCGGAATCATGGAGGAACTCACCAGATCTGGTTTGGGATCGCGAATGAAGCTGGCCAAAATCGCGAATGAAGCTCGCCGGAATCGCAAAGCCGCTGCCAACGTTGGTCATGAATGGATCTAGTTTGAGAGAGAAACAAAATAGAAAGGATGTAGGGAGAGGAGATATGGAGGAGAGAGATTTTCACGTGAGGAAGAAGAGAGAGAGGGATGTCGCACATGACTTGCACTGTAAAAAATTTAATGAAAATGACTAAACTGTCACTTTTTAAAGAGGTTGGGGGTCATTTTATCAAAAAAAAGATTAAGAACCAAACTGTCACTTTTTAAAAAGTTTAAAGACCATTTATGCAAATTACCCAAAAAATTTTAATAACTGACAAAAATTATAAAACCGTTAATCCATGAAACGAAAGTATAATTCAAAAATAACAAATAGCTAAAAGTTCAACATTCAAAGTAACCAATAAAAAATGTGGTATGATGTATTTTATAATTGTATAACTTCTATTATGACCAATTGAAATTAAAATAAAGGAAAAAAATATTTTAAAAATAAAAAATTATATGTGTATTTTTGGGAAAATTATTAGGCGGCTCGGGGAGTCTAAACCACTAATTAAACCGCCAAAAATATTAAAATAAAAAATCGACCGAATCGCCCAATAATTTAAAAATAGTAAACGATTTGGTTTGATTTGATCTGAATTAAATGGTTTAGTGAGTATAGCGGATTTTGAACACTTCTCGAGGAAATTGTGACATACAGGTCATTTTGATAAACCATTTAATGGACATAACATATTTACCAATAATGAAAAATAAATAACATATTTTAAAATTTTAATATCTAGTGTTTCAATTTTACCTTTATGTAATTTTTATATGTAAATGTCATACTTACCTGGTAAATCTTTAATTTACCAAACCAACCTAATTATGTATTTTGGTAAATAATGAATTTTCAAAATAAATCGCTAATTTACCATGTCACGCGCTAATTTACAAGAAAATAACTTACTTTTGTCATAAAAAAAAAATAAATCTTTTTGTTTACAATATAAAAGCCTGTTTTTGACTGGTACACTTACTAATCCTCCATTTATTTGCCGGTAAATGAAGCATTTATAAGATAAATTGCGTCATTTACTAGTTAATTTTACATTTACTAACAAAGAGAAATAATAAAAGCCGTACAAACGAAAACAAGACAACCATCTCTTTTAAGTATAAATTGAAAATCAGATCGAGAACAACCAAACAGAAGGAAAATTAAATCAACAAAATAAATTAAAATTCGACACAAATAAAGAAATCAAATCGCTCCATTTTCCATGTATTAATTTCAAGCATATTCTTGACAGTCAAACAGACATGGAATGACCAAATTTGAGCACTACTTGCGGATCAAGCAGTCCCCGTCCTCTCTTCCGCAAGATCGACCAAGGAAAGAGATTGGCTTCAGCGTCGTGCGGAGATTGGCGTTCAGCGTCTCGCGGAGGAGGTGGCTGATTGATGTCGTGTGGAACGACATCAGCATCACATGGAGCTTTGATGGGATCTCGCCTCCAAAGGAAGCGACGATTTGTTCACAAGGTCGAGGAGACAATGGAATCGCCTTCAATCTTTTGCAAGGTCAAGGAGATGATGAAATTGCGATCTATGTCGACTACAAATCGTGATGGTCGTCACAGAAGAAGACTACAGATCTGCAACAAAATCATGTTGGGCGTCTCTGGAGAAGGCGACAAATCTACGATGAGAGAGAGAGAGAGAGAGAGAGAAGGAGGACGACGACGACGACGGCGAACTTTCCGTTCGCGACCTTGTTGCAACATATGAAGCACAATTGGTGCTCATTGTAGAGAGAGAAGAGAAAAGTGATCGAGGATGAGAGATGGAGGAGAGAGTGGATGAATCTAGGCATGCAATGGGGTATTTTGACGAGGATATTTTTGGTATTCTCTTAGTGTGATAAAACTAATTTACTATAATTATGTTATTTATTAATTTTTTTTAAAACTTATTTATTTTTATTGATATCCTAAAAATGTTGTTTCCTTCTTTCTCCATTTCTGAAGTTATGGTTTTGAAAGAGAAAATGCACCGGCATATTTTATCGAGCCTAATTTATTACACAACCAAAATACTAAAACTACCCTTGTCTTTCCTTTCTCCCTCATCCACCCTCTTTTTTCTCTCTCTCTTTCTTTCTATCATTTGTCTCTCTAACTTTCTGTCTCTCATCACGTTGGCGTCAACTCTCGTTCATTGATGTCGTCTATACTCGTTTGACGTCATCTTTCTTAGCTGTCGAAAAAACCTCGTCACAATTGTAATCTGACTTTTTTTTGTTTGTTTTTTTTGTTTTTTGTTTTTTGAAGATTTAAGTGATTTTGATTAATGAATTTAAAATTATGGTTCATGATTTTAATTTTTAAAATTTAAATTTTTGGTGAGAAAAATACTATAACAGAATCACAAATTATAATATTAAATTAGGCAAAAATTTTAAAATAAACGTCACCTTAATCTTTTTACAAAGCATGCAAGATTTCCAAAATGCCCCTAACTTATACACCCTAAGTCAATTTTCTGCTAAAAATTCTAACAGAGGAACATTTTTGTTAACAATTTAGGTGTTGTTTGGTTGGGAGATTCGTTCCCTGATTCGAATCATGGTTCGTGATTCGCTACAGTATTTTCTCTCACAAAAAATAAATGTAAATCAAAAATGATTTTAATCACATGGTTCTAATCCATGAACCAAACGTCTCCTTATATTTTGAGAGGAGTAGATCTTACCTTTTAAAGATCGGAGAGTAAAATGATATGAGAGTCATTATTTAAGATGAATTTTTATAATTAATCCGAATACTATTTACTACCTTTTTTAAAACATTATTCTATTATTTAGTCACCATGATTTCCTCCATTCTCCCGTTTAATGTAGGCCTTTCGTGGAGATTGTACACAAGGGCAATCTACCTCTGTAAAAACTTGCTTCTCTGATAAAGAGAAATGGATAAAGGTAGATTATAGATACAACGTGTTTTTATTAAAATTTCCCTGCTGGTCGTCAACATGGGATATTGAAATAACCTATTAGATTATCACTGATAATATAGTAGACTATGTCCACTTTTTGAACACATGTCATCAATTGTTCGGGCTGAATAACGCCGTTAAATAACTGTCCATATTGGTCATCCCATTGGTTTTTGAGAAGTGAAACCGAACGCCAAACAGTGAAGTATTTTTTCAGTCGGTTCCCCAACCGGTGAAGGTCGATTTTCGATGGTTTTCAGTTTCAGTAAGGTAATAGAATGTACTAGTCAACCAGATACAACTAAAATATAAGCCTTAAACTCGCGGAAAGTACAAGTCAACCAGTGAGAATGATTCAACTAAAGGCCTTAGACACAGAAATACAACTCTTTTTTATCGTCATTTAGTAATAATTACCTCAAGTAAATTAACGGGATTTCTAATAATGTTATATATGTCAAAACAATTGTAAAATTTGAGGTGTGAGGTTTGGAAGAAGAAATAAGACGTGTATTAAATCTAAAATATTTCATTTAAATTAAGTGAAAAGAGAACTAATATGAACCACTTGATTAGTTCAACCAAAAGTTGTTTTGAGAAAAAATGTCTCATGAGTGTAGCAAGTCGTTAAAGTACGGATCCGATAGCTATTAGCTGCGATGGAGCTCATAATTTGATCTAATCCATGGTTGTTCCAGCCCTTTTCACAGATCAATCTATCTGAAATATCGCGCGCAAATGCTAAACAAGTTCTTAAAAGCTCTGGACTGCATATATATCACGCATTCTGTAACACTTAAACTATTCCCGCTGCATATGAGAGAGAGAGCAAGGAGAGAAAAAGAGAGGGTGAGCGAGAGAGAGGAGAGAGAAAGAAGGAGGGCGTGCGAGCGAGATCAGAGAGGGAAAGGAGAGAGAGAGTGAGAGAATCAGATAATTTTATGCATTTACTAAACTTAAAACTAATATCTGCTATAAATTATTTACCCCTTCATTTCTGCTCTTTCTCTCATTCATTCTAAAAAAATCCCAAAAATGTTTTTATTTGTTAACGGCTGCTATATATATATATATATATATATATACACACACATATATCAATTCTCTTTCTCAAAAAGAAATTTTCTTAAGTTGTCACTATGATTAAAGTTGTTAGGCTTTCAAATACACGCCTATTACACGCCTATTTGAAAGCCTAACAACTTTAATCATAGTGACAACTTGAGAAAATTTCTTGTTGAGAAAGAGAATTGATATATGTGTGTGTGTGTGTGTGTGTGTGTGTATATATATATATATATATATATGTATGTATATAATGGCAGCAATGAGACAATTTTACAGATTGAGAACACGTAATGAGACGTTTGAAAGTTAATGACTAAAATCGAATGTCTTAGAGGTAGTGATATAAATGAAATTAATATAAAAATACTATATGCCAAAAGCAAGTGTATTGGTACATGAATGTTCTTTTTGACTTCTTTAATGGGTTGGCCACCTCAAACATCAATTAAATCTTTATGATTAAGATCCATAGGAATCTTATCACAACTGTTGGAAAACTCCACCTCAAACATCAATTAAATCTCTATGATTAAGATCCATAGGAATCTTATCACAACTGTTGAAAAACTTGTAAACAAAAGCGAATGCTACTTTATGAAAGCATCTTCTACTAAATATGTATCAATTTCTTATTAAGTAATAAAAGCTAAATTATGATCATCGCCCGACAAAGTCACAAAGCTATAATTATTGCCAAACTCTCCGGCTCTAGCTAACATAATGTAGATCATAATTCTCGAGAAACTAACTGCATGACTGCATGCCGCATTGAGGCTTGCTATTTCTTAATTGGCGGTACTAAACAAGGTGTCCTTATAATGCCGTTTTATCACCATAGCTAGTCATTTCATATAAGTTATAGCTTTTACTGCATCATGAAGACTTTATACCCCAAGTCACAAAGAAAATTTGTTCAGCGTACATGATCATTTTGGAATGCAATCTTGGTAGATTCATTAACTCGCTTTTAACCATATGGCTTAGCAAATTAGACATCATAATATACAAAAGGAGACCAGACTGATATTTTTTATTTTGGTTAATTCTAAAAATTAATCTCCCTTGTAGCAAGTCGGGACTGGGGTCAAGGTTGTCGAGGTTCAACTGAGTAGCTGAGTTCTGAGTTGGGGTTCAAAGTTTAACCTAGCATCGGTCAGTCCAACCTTCATATTACGGCATTAATGGTCCGACCCCCAACGTCCATTCCTACTCATCAATCCGAACCCTAGCAAAAATCCCACCTCGGCCCAACGTTGATCTCAGCTTCTCCATTGATAATGACTTCGCCAATCCTACAAAAAATGAGACCAAACTAATCATTCTTTATTTGGGTTAATAAAAACATTTCTTCTATTTTCAATTTTTTTCACCAAATAACTTTTCATTTCTAAAAGTTAGTTTAATTCCACATAACTTATTTTCTTTGCAAATTTTATCCCTACCAATAGTCTTGATCAAAATCTAGGAGTAGAATGTTGATTTCACCTCTGAATAACACAATTAATAAGTGTGACCTGAAAATTAGGTTTTAGGCGCTCCAATATCCAAATTTCATGCAGCAACACTCAATGCCCTTTGGGAAAATTTGGAATTTTATTTATGTATTGAATTGTAAGTTTAATTAGAAATAATTATCTTTCATGAACAATTGAAAATAGAAGAGAGAGTTTTTTTTTTTTGTAATTAATTATTCTATATTTCTAATTTTGTAGGCATGCCAAATGTGTTAATGTATATTCTCTAGATCATTGTGCCGACAAAGCTCATTATTGTTAAGAATATTTTGTGATCCATTACGGGCAACCCGCCATCTTTTGGACTTGGCTTGTTGGTAAATATGATATTATATCCGTTTGTCATTACTAACAAAAGGCTAGTGCTTGGTTTTATAATCCAAATAACAAATTTTCGGATCCAAATTTTGACTTAGAGTGTGTTTTGGTATTACTTTTGCTTTTTGGCAGTTAACAAGAGGAGTAGAGCTGTGATTTTTTAGTTGATATTTGGAACCATATTTTTAAGTGAGCTCAACGAAATAAAAATAATTTGTAAATCTTTTAATAAGCAATAAATATGTTATGATAAAGATTTTAAAATCTTAATTAAACTCTATTAGAATTTTAACTTGAAGCTTTTCTGAAAGGTCGAAACTCTTCTAAAAAACTAGCATAAATATTGAACATAGCATGCTCGTAAAGCATAAAAATCAAGACTTATTGCCCCTGCATTTATTAATATGAATAAGCAACATATGTGTTCGTTAACACTTTGAGCTTTTGTTCCGGGTTTTTTTTTTGTTCCAATTAAATTATTAATGCTATATGCACACACACACACACACATATATATATACGCAATTCTGCTTGAACCGATTTTAGCGAAAGACACAAAACCGACCAAGAATACTTCTTTGTATAATAAATGCGACAAAATCAAATGGTGAGCACGTACTAAGGGAATATTCACTTACGACATTCCCACATACAGATCAGTCAGCTTACAAAAAGTCTATCTATAATTGTCACTAATTATTTGAACAAAAATTGATGAAATAACAAGATCTCTCTCTCTCTCTCTCTCTCTCATATGCACAGTATTTAGAGAAGCAAAAGCACATGCTAATTTACGTGTAATGGGACCAAACTGATCTTGAGCTATAAAATGGTATCCCACTAGGAATTACGTGTCATTAGTCAAAAGAGCCAACAAAGCGCGGAGCTACGACAATTTTTTGCAGATCGTAGGAAGGGTCCAAACATAAAAGAGAAAGCAATTCAACATTCAACATAACACTACCAGACTCCTCTATACTTACAAATCTTTTGATCGGTTCTCCTATAAATATATATATATATATATACACACACACGTATATATATATATAGAAATTTGCTTTTCATCAATCACTTTGTTTCCAAATACCAAAAAAGAAAAAAGAAAAAAAATTCTAATTAGTGGGGTCTGATAAAGTCTAGGGCTGCATGTGTACCACGTTAGCTGATGTCAAATAGTTAGACTGTCCTCATCAGTTTTAACAAAGGCTGAGTTTACATTGTCTGCTCTAGGATCTTATACAGAGAAAGAAAAAAAGAAGTTAAAAAAAAAAAGACCATGAAAAAAAGGTATAAATTAAAAAAGCTTCTTTGCAAAAAGGGACACCCAAATGGCCAATGCTGACGGTTATTAGGCCAGAAGAATAAAGCTGGACCGCCCATTGTCCGCTTCAGGATAATAAAAAGAACCGAACAAAGCCTTTCCTTTTTTACACTTTATAACGCGTTCATTATCTAAGAATTTTTGCACATTAACTTTTTTTCTAGTGTATTGAGAGAAAGCAAACTTATGAGAAAATTATACTTTTATATATTGAGGAAACAGTTATGGATTCCACGTCCAAAAGGAGGAACCTTTTCTTTCGTCCAATGAGAAGCATTGATTTCATTCTGATCAGTAATATTTCTACTTTAACACACACACACACACACACATATATATATATATATATATAGTTTCTTTTTAACACACCATAAATACAAATTTTGTCGTAGTAATGTCGGAACAAATTTGAGAAATAATAGTCATTTTACAATACATCTTGCACAATACGTACTTTATAATAACTAGCTATAGTCAAAGAATGGCTACGGCTAATAATAATTTCTCTAACAAAAAATAATTAAATATATGATCATCTTCTGCCAAATGAGTCTTGAGATCCCGAGGTCGACAAGATGCGGCTCATGATGATTTCGTGGGGTGTATATATGATTGAAATTTACCCGTTTGATAAAGGTTGTGGGCCCACTGAAGTAATACAGCATGTTTGTTTAGAGAAAGAGGGAATTGAAAGATAATGGTGGTCTGTCATGTGCAAAATGTCTTGGTTTAAATGAGACTTAACTTTATCATGTGGTCTGTAATATGAATAAAAAGACCGCAAAAGGAAAAGCCACAAATTTCTTTTGTTTTTCCTTTTTTTTTTTTTTCTCTTACCAAAAACTAATGTATATTTACACGAACTCCCATTTGCTTAAAATGGTCTTCTCATAAAAACTTGGAAGGTCAGCAAATACACAAACATCCAGTACATCAAGCTTTGATTTTCCATTCTAGCTGCCTGTTTCAAAGTAAATTTTCCATACGTAGTATGAAGATAAAAAACAAGGAATGAAAAGACAACAATCAGATCATTACTATCCATCAAAATCTAAAATAAAAATTAAAACCAAACAATAAGCTAATCATATAATTTAGCTTTAATCATCTTCATTTAATTATTAATTGTACAGAAATTTTCCACTCCACTAATCAAATACACTTTTTTCCTATTTACACACTTTCTTCTTCTATATAACTATTTCTCTGGAGTGGAAAAAATAATACAAAGTTATAGGGAATTTTGTGGCAGGGAGCAAACAATCAATATTAGTATGCCTCTCTAAAATGGTAAAATTTATACAAATTTGACAAATTCTAATGAAAACTATATGATTTAAAAATATACAGAACCCTTGAATAAATATATTAATTATATATATACATGTTAATTTATCTAACTAAAACAAATTTTCTAAAAATATTCATACTAAAAGAAAAACCCACGTCTAATTTTTTACCTTGGTAGCAGAAGAAGTGAGAGAGATTGAAGCCGAAGATGCTGAAGTTGTGGACAAAGCAGACAATCCCACATTGTAAGCCATAGTTCCATCAGGTTGAAACAGGCCATAGTTCCTCTCCGATGTGGGACCCGGTTTCATGTCCTCATTGAACAGAGCAAACAAATAAGCTTCCAATCTCATATTAGGCCTCAAGGGAGTCCCTTCATTTGCCATTTGTCTCCTCAACAGATTCCGATTGTAAATCGCAGCATTCTCAACCGTCGCTCCGACCTCGTTGGCGTCGCCTTTCGACGGCCACCCCGTCTCCGAAACCCCAACTTCGATCCCGCTGTAGCCCAGCCTCGCAATGGCGAAAATCACGGCGTCAACCTGAGCGTACAACATGTTGTCGTAGTGTAGTTTTGTGTAGGGATCAATCATGCCTGAGTTGGGATTGAAAAGGACGTAATTCAAAGGAATTTTATTGGCGTTGTCCTTATAAGCAAAATACGGATATGCATTGATCCAAAAGGGTGATTTAGTACTGGACAGGAACTGCAGCAACCGCGACATGACGACGGAGACTTCGGTTTTGAAGCTACCGGCCGACGGCGGGTAGGATTCTTGGAGAACCGCCAAAGAACTTGAAGTTGAAACTTTGATGTACGTGTCTAGACCTAATTGCGCCAATGCGGAGTGAATGCTGATCATGGCCGGGACGAGGTTGTCGATAAACGTCGTCGTGTCGTCGTCGGTGAAGACCTCGTTCCCAACGGCGATGCTGGTGATCATTGTGGCAGGGAAGTAAGGTTTGATGTGGGTGGTGACCCATTGGAGGGCTTGTTGGGGATCCATTAGCTGGGCTAGCATTGCGTTCTCTACTGTTACGATCAGCTCAGTGCCAGAGTTGGCGAATGCGGTTAGTACTTCCGGGTTTGTGTCGTAGATTCTGGCTTTTGTTATCTTGAGAGAGCTCAGTAAATCGAGGACTTTCTCCGGTGGCGGCAAATTGTTTCCGACCTGGCCGTAGTTGATTCCAAGCGACAGAACTCCTATATTTAGGGTACAAAACAATTTAAAGTGGTTAACATGACATAATTAGCTATTACTAATAGAATTATGTTAACATGCATAAGTTATTAAAAATATTGCATTCGATAGAATATGATAAAAATCTGACGGTTTAAACAGTGACGCAATTTACGGGAAATGATCATGTGTATGATACATGAATTTAGTATTAGATGAAAAATGTAAAGAGAGAGTACCTGAAAAACTGAGGGAATTGACCAGAAGGAGGATCATGGCAATTTTGCAAAAAACTATTGCCATATTCTTGAAAGAGAAGAGTTTGTGATCAAGTAGTTTGAAGAATTTCAAGAAAAGCTAGAGCCTAGCTTGAAGAATTCCTAGCTGAGAAAGAAATTAAGAGATCAAAGAGATATAGGGGGTGTGAATTCCTTTCTTTTCTTGTCTGAAAATTTTGTTGTGAGGGGAGTTATTTGAGGGGTTTTGGCTTGCCTTGGATCAGATGTTATCTTTGGCTCTTACCTCTTAACTGGTTTAATGTTATTTATAATATAACACTTGGGGGGTTTTTGGTTTTGCCTTTTTCCTTCCATGGATTCTTTTGGAATTCGGACTGGATTGTCTCTTTCCAACGTCACGCCAACTCCCCAGGCTGAAATTATACGAAAAGACGTAAATGCCCCGGCCGCTTTCTTCAAACAAAAGCAAAGGGTAATCCCTCTAAGTTGGTCAAATATAAGGGGAAGCAATTTGGGGATCCTAAAATTTGAGGTGGGGGAAAGTAATTTTATTATCTTTTAGTATTATATCCAAATAAATACGAATAATTTATGATAATTAGGGATTCAGCTTTAGTCTGTTTAATAAACTAAATCTAAGAGACAATTAAATTAATGACTAAATTTAAGAGATTCTATTTACCTTTAAGGCAGCACTATTGACCTTTCGAGAATATTGTATATTATATCCTAGGCCCTAGGTGCTCATTTGCAAATACAAAAATGAGGACCGGAATTATAGGTTGTTGACCCATTTCACCCTAAAGATTCCCCTACCACATTTTGTGAATAAGGTCCCGTTCATTTCGTCGATTCGAGTTTAGAATTCAAATTTTGCTACAGTAAAAAGCTCTCAGAAACAGTCACATCTAACTTTTTTGCTACAGTAAAAAGTTCTCACACAAAATCACATCTCAACTCGAATCAGCGAAGTGAACGGACCCTAAATAAAGCAGTGGGAAAGTTTTTGCTCCAACCAAGTTCCTAAGGTGACTCGGTAATATAGGCCGCCTTAGAGTGTATATTTCTGAAAAGAAAATTCTCAAAAAAGAAAAAAATATATAAAACGGGTAGAATCTAATATAAATATAGTGACTAAAAACAGAATAAAAAGAGACATAAAATTGATTAAATTCTTCAAAGTAATAACGATTTCATGCCCACTATAAAAAATTAGTCAAATACAATAGAATTTTAAGAAAAAACCAAAAGTGATTGGCAATGTTACAATAACACGAACAGCTTCTTCTTCACTTTTTATTTATTTTTTAATTATTTATTAAAAAATCATGTATTTGTAAATTTATAATTAACCAAGTTTCTTTGGTTCTCTCAATTAACTATTTCAAAAAACAAAATAGTAAGAAATTTTCCAACTAGACTGAAAACTTTCATTCATATGTTAACTATAGGACTCATAAATTATACTACAACAACCCGTACAGTTATAAATATCAACTTTCAATCGTTAAAAAAAATTTAAAAAAAAATAGAGAATTTACTCTTGAGAGTGCATAAATCTAAACTTTTATTCTTTACTCTTGATAAATGTCATTTTATTAGTGTAATTATTTAACTAAAAAAGTTATGAATAAAAATCCTGCATCATGCACTTTTAAAAATTATTTATCAAGATTACTCAAAAATTAATAGTAATTACAACTATAATGACGATCCTTATTTTTTATATAGGACCGCCACATTTTTTTTTTCCTTTTTGGGAGTTAACAAATTAAGAAAGATGATCTGTAAATGATAAGACAGAAAATGTACGTTTAGGCTTACAGTACATATGAGAATTGAACCGCATTATATTACATCTTGTTTTGCGTTATCATTTCTCTGGATCAATCAACAACAGTAGTACTTGCCCACCTTTTTGTAAAATCATTTTCTATACATCTTGTTTCTTTGTCTAGCACTAGACTCTATGATTCTTCTTCATGATTGATCAATCAAACCATAACATGGAAACTTATAATTAGTTTATAAAGTATATGGTACATTCCCCTAGTCTTTTTCTCAATTAATTTCCACACAATAATGGAATGAAAACAAAATTCGATATCATATCAGGCATATTAAAAAATTATATGACTTCGTTAAAGCTAGTTTGTCATTCTTGACTAGCACTAAGAACACGCTGTATAAGCTAGTTTGTCATTCTTGACTAGCACTAAGAAAACTGCACGCTGTATATGAATAATTCACATATATCATATGCTAAATATGATACCGAAATCCCATTCACGTGAATCATCAAGTCAGAAAAGAACATGTCGGGAAATCTTGTAGTTTGTTTTTTTGGTCAGAAACAGAGTGTACCGACATCAAAACAATTAAATCAAGTAATCCAAAAAATATATATAATCATTCCTTTGAAACTTTATAAAGAAACATATTATAAGGTCAATACTACTGTAGTATATTTGAAAACTTCATAACGTATAAATTATTGTTGGATGTGCGCCGTATCACAATCATTATTTTGTATTTCAATTTTCATATATAAGGATAGAGAGTAAAATGGGTTGTAGAGCTAATTTAATATTACAGCATAAAATTTCTCCATGAAAGGATCTGAGGTGCTCAATTTCATTCAGTGATAAAAAGTTCTTCTAAATTTTATTAATTAATCAATAGGATTGTTTGTTTCTTTTTTTATTATTATTTTATTTTGGTGCCCATAGATAACCTTCTTCGTAGAGATGCAAGAACGGGCCGGCTCGGTCCAGCCTGTCCCATTCTTCTTAGGCCCACGTGGGCCGTGGGCCGGGCCGGCCCATATACGAATTAACTCGACCCGGCCCAGCCCACATGCCAACTTTACGTGGGTCAGGCCAGGCCGTGCCGTGGGCCTTGAATGGGCTGGCCCATATTGGCCCATCATGGGTTTAGATGGGCTGGCCCATTCAAGGCCTATCTTGGCCCATCATAGGTTTAGATGGGTCAGCCCATCTATGCATGTAATTTTTAATTTTTTTAATTTTTTTAATTTTTAAACAAGTTAACAAAAATAAATGTTTGAATAGTCAATGGGAATATGAAAAAATATATTTTATTTACGATTGCCTCATTAAAAACCTTTCCAAGGAAAACCTAGTGGGATAAAACCTTAGTAAGGAAAAAAGAGTACAATTAGAATAATTATACATAAGATATTTACAAAATTACTAAAACAAAGAAAAAAACATAAAAAAAAATAGATGTTGTTCGTAATTACAATGTATTACTCCTAGTGGGAGTATCAGAAATGTCTAAATTTTCAAAATCATCAACCCAATCATCTTGAATTTGTTGGCTTCTTTTGCGAGCGTCCTCCCAATCTTTGACACACATTACTGCCTCCAGAATATCATCACTTAAGCGTGCACGCTGTTCATCAAGTACTCTTACCACTGCAACTAAATACTTGTTCACTTGCAACTGTGGACACTAGTATGGTTAGTATATCACGTACCATTCTAGAGCACAGGAAAAGTTCTTGACTGTGATCTCTAAAATGACAAAATATCAAACTCATTGAAATCATGACCACCACCTTGCTCATTGAAAATGAATGCCGCAAAATTTGTTTCCAGATAGTTTTCCAATTCACTACGTGCTGAAGATGTGGATGACGCACCAAAACCAAATCCGGTGTAGCTAATCATACTTTTCCATGAAGAACCATGTGGTAAAGATGTAGTACTCGCCATTGTTTGGCCTCCTCCATATTTTTCATTATATGCAGTAAATAAAGTGTTAACTTTTACTTGCACATTTTGAATGGTTATGATGTCAGAATGCACCTTCAGTTTTTCCCCTATACCCTTAAGCAAATATTCAACACCAGCTAACTTAACTCTTGGATTCAACACAGTGGCTACACAGTACAAAAGTGGAACACGCTCCCAATATTTTTTGAATTTTTGTTCCATGAACTCAACAAATTCCATAAACATGTCAAAATCTCTATGCATATCGAAGGTTGCAGCAATGTCGTATAATTTATGTAATGCATGAGGAGAGGTGGGATAGTACACACCTGAGAGTTAGAGAGTGGCTTCATAAAAAACCTTCAAGAAATTATAGAAGCATGAAGCAATTTGCCAATCAATTTCTTAAAGCAGCTCAGTTGGATTCTTCAAGTTGTAATACGCGGTTATGACCTCTTTGTATGGTAGGCATGCGTTCAACATCAAATATGTTGAATTCCATCGGTGTCCCACGTCAGTAGGAAGTTTTCTGGGCTCATGCTTGCTCTCTTGCAAAGTTTAGCAAATTCTTCAATTCGAGAGCCAGAACTTGCTATGTAACCCAAGGCCGTTCGAATATTTTCTAACTAACCTTGAAAAAATTTCATGTCATCTTGAACGCACAAGTTAATAATATGACAAGCACATCTTTGGTGAAAAAGTGTTCCACCATGTTGTGGTTTCAAAGTTGTCTTGAAAAGGTTTATCGCAGCAGTATTGGCAGATGCATTGTCAAATGTGATGCTCAAAACCTTTTCTTTAATGCCATAAAAATAAAAAACTTCCATGATGACATCATGAATGGCCTTGGCATCATGTGGATAAGGCATTGATCGAAAAGCAATTAACCTTTTTTGAAAAGATCAATCTTTATCCACATAATGTACCGTTACACAGATATAACTAGTTTTGGTGCGACCTTCCCACAAATCAGATGTGCATGCAACAGATGCAGTGAATGAACTAAATTCATTAACTAAATTTTCCCTCATTGAATGAAATACTTTCATAGTGTCAGCGCTTGTGGTAGTTCTTGAAACACGCGTATATTGTGGATTATAAGCATTTTGAATGTACTCCTCAAAGGCCGGATCATCAGCAAGACTAATTGGTTGTTGAGCACTAGCCAAATATCTAGCGTGCCATTCTCTAGCTCTTTGTTGGTCATATGACCAATTGGTAACACTACCATCAGAGCTAAATTGAAGTGTTTGTTGACGACAATTAACACCACCTACACCATGCTTAGCTTCGCACTTTTTGCGATGCTTCTCTAAGTGACCAGTACCAGAAGAGGATTTACCTGTGTAGTCTTGTTTGCATACTTTGCAAATTGCACGATCTTCTATTACACCATTCTCATTTTTACGCATTACTAAATA